TAGAAAATCTGTGCTTTGTGTTACTCTTAAGGAGGCACACCTGTACTCTAACCCTAGCTGTCACCTACTTGAAGGACTTGCTGAGCAAGAGGCAAAGGGTGGTGGAAAGGTGGGAAAGGGGACTACCAGGTGTCTGAGTATCTGAATTTGTCTACCTAGGAAAGAGGTTCAGGAAGAAATCTATTCTAGAAATTATCCCTTTTGCTTCATGAATCATCTCTATATTTAGAAAGCAAATTTCCCTACAGTGAAGTATGTGAAAGAAAATTCTGTATAAGGAGCAGCAAGATTCTGTATTTGGGTAAGTTTATTACAGTCAGTTCAGGACATGGTGAGTTGAGTCCATGTGATTCAATTTAGGGGATAAAATTATTTATTCCTTGTATATACAGAAAATGAAGGATGATTCTGATAACTGTCTCAAATTTTTTCATATTGATTTTGCAAATTGCAGAAGTATAGCCTGCATGCATCTCTGACTTACCAGTTGGTCTCAGGCTAGTGAACTTTGCAGGACTAAAAACAATTTGTTTAGGAATGCTGTTTTCCAATACTTCATAGAGCTGCTCTATCCAATGCAGTAGCCACTAGACACATGTAGGTTCTTAAATTCTAATTTTAATTTATTAATATTAAATAAAATCCTGAATTTGGTTTCTCAGTTGCAGTAGCCACATTTCAAGTGCCCGAAACCACATGTGACTGATGGCTACTGTATTGGACAGCCCAGATATAGAACATTTCTATCTTTGCACGAAGTCTTATTGCCCAGCACTGCTATCTGGAGTCTTGACACCTCTAAGAGTAATGTTTACATGTATGTAGCACCTTTCGAGAAATCTACCAGCAAGCTCTAGTCGCTGCCTTTTAGCATTCTTCCCCTTTCTATTAATCCAACAAGAGCTAACTTAAGGATTTATCAAGGACCTTTGTGCCCTCATGAAAGGCAACATTTACATACAGTCCCCTGTAGTGTGGGCTTGTGTAGAGGCAGTAGGTCAGCATAGCATTTGTGGGTGCCAGCTACTCAGCAGTAAATGTAGTGTCTAAAATGCACCTTTGATTCTAAAAACTGAAAACTATTCTAGTATGAGGAGTTTCATAAATAATTAAATCTTTGATCTTGATTTTATATTGCTTTTACTAAGCAGTTCTATTAATTTGTGATTCTGAAATGTAGAATTATTACATCCTAAGTTAGGCAATGTGACTTTAAGAGTTATGTAAATCAAAAGACAATCTTCATAAAGTACTTTGCACAGATCAAAAGAGTTCCTAAGATATCGATGCCATATAATTGCTCTTCAATATAGTCATATTCACTACGCTTATGAGTCTCATTTTTTTCCTTCAGAGATAGCATAGCCTTCTTTAGTCATATATCCCTATTTAATGTTATAAAATTCCAGGTTTTAGACATGTGTTTAGCATATGTTTGAGTATCATATGTATGTAGGCTATGCTGACTATACTGAATGATAACTTTGGCTAAGACTATAAGGAGAGCGATTGGAGGTTCTGTTATAATCGGTGATCTTGCCTCATCATTTAGGACCTAACTCTTAAATTTAATCAACTGAAATCCTTTAACATTTCTACCTTGGAAAGATTTTCCAGCCTTTTTGTCATCTCTGTTCGGCCTCACCCTCTCCAAGTTTAATGCTTTGAGTTCAATGTTCTGCATCCTAATAAGATGACCCTCTCTTGAATTCTGTGTCACACACATATTTGTATGTCCCTGTGATGGGTTTCCTCCCTCAGTATATTGCACTGTGACTGGGTGTTACCTTGATACTTGGGTATAAAGCTAGTTATTCAACAATTTGTATTCGTGTTGTGTATTTAAACTTGTTAAAATGTTCTTGGCCTTATGCCTATCAGACTTCATGGTTCTGAGCTCAGTTATGGGGCACCAAAAACATAGTACATATTGGTTTTTGCTGTTGTCTTCAAGTCAGCTATACATCTGTATTCAACTCTCATGTTCCTTACTTTCTAACTTTGTTGTCTCCTTCCATACATTTAGTAGTTTAACTTAGCAGAAGTCTGAGTTAACTATTTCCTTGTTTTCCACTTCCTTAAATGAGACACAGAATCATTTAGCTGGGAGCATTCCATTTTAATATTTGACATGTGAATTATAATTTTGATTATGTCCAGAATTAATTATTTGTAGTTCTCTTTTTCTTTGAGTTTAAAATCTATCTTCTCCTTTCTAGGTTAATTTGCTTAGTAGAAAAGTTGCATCTTTAAAGTTGCATTATTAAAGTTGCATCTTTAATATTAGTTATCTTAACACATTGTGAATATTCTTCTTTAATCAAAGTTGATATGTTTTACTCTCAAAACATACTAAATTATGCCTACTAAATTAGATAGAAAACTTTTTATCAAGTATTTAATGATGCAGGCAGTTTTACGAGCTACTTGTATAAGATCTGAGCTCTGTAATAGCAATAGTATATAGTACAGGGGTTAGCAAACTTTGAACTGGGGACCAAGTCTGATCTACCACCTATTTTTACGTATAAAGTTGTATTGAAACACAGCATGTATATTCATGTGTGTATTGTCTATGGCTGCTTTCACACTCTAATGGCAGAATTGAATAGTCGCAACAAAAACCATATGGCCTTCAACCCTAAAAAATTTATTGTCTAGTTCTTTACAGAAAAAGATTGTTGACCCCTGATATAGCAAAAAACCCTTGAACTGGGAATAGTAGTTAGAGGGCATCAATTCTGTCTATTCTTGATTCTATCATAAAAATGGCATCAACCTTAACAAGTTGCTAAGCCGCTGTGAACCTCAGTCTCCTCATCTGTAAAATGAGTCTCTTAAAATGAATCATCTCTAAGGTTGACTCTCAAACTCTAATAAAATTCTATAAATCCATAAAATGTTTCAGAACCATTTTTGCAGTTTTACTAATAGCTTTGTGCTGAAAATTTGAACCACAAGTGCAGTCACTAAGTTGAGACAAGTAAACAAACAAAACCACTCGTCATAAGACAGATAAATTAAGAACTTGCTGCTACCGTTTCAAAAGAATTTACCTTACAGGTAAATTCCAGGTTTCAAATAGTGCTTTCTTAATAGTATAAGTACTTCTAGATCTTTGACTTCAGTGGTAGCTAAAACATGCCTTGAAATATAAAACTAACATATTAAGAAACTCAATTGAACTTCATTAGGAAATAAAAATAAAGCATCTCTAAAATTTTAGTTTCAGGGTGTGGGAAACATGATTTGATTTATAAAAATTCCATCCCCACCCAGCTTTTAGGGAACATAGATAATATGTAAAGTGAAATAATCTTCTATTGTAGAAGAAGAACTCAGCATTTTCATCATGGTAGCCAACCATAGAATTCTGCACAAGAACTTCTCTTGCATTATCCCTAGAGTTTGGGACATCTAAAAGTTGCCTGGAATGGTATCATCAGGATCACTTTTCTGTTTTGGTTTTTCGTCTTTTTTGTGGGTTTTTGTTGTTCTTCTCCTCTTTCTGCAGTCTGTCTCTTTTTCAATTTCTGTTTGTGGAAGGAAACCCTAACATGATTCCTCCCCACCAAGAAAAGAATCTTGCAGAAATGTATTACTATTAGTGTTTTCATATATGTATTAAATGCCTACACACATAAGAGATTTGTCTTTCTTTTCAGAAAAAAAATCTAAGAGTTTAATATTTAAAATTTAGACTTAAGACAACTTAAGTGAATTGATGCTTAGGTTACCTAAATGAGCCTTTCTTGCCTAGACCAGCAAAAATTTGTGCTCATGTTCTAGCTACATATTAGTAGGGTTAGGAATGATTTACATTTGCAAAATACTTTACAATTTGCAAACACTTTCATATACATTATGACTTTTAACAAATCCTATAAGGTAAGTTATGCCAGTTTTAATATCCTCACTTTACAAAGGAGAAAACCCAAAGAAGTTAAATGATTGACTCAAGTAGCCTATGTGGCCAGAAATTATAGAGCCAAGGAACATACCTGCAGTATTTAACACTTTCACAAAATATCCTTTACAGGTTTGCTTGTTATTGAAACAGTAATTCCCAGCCAATTTTCCACCCAACTGTCCTAAGGGATGTCATACACTCAACATGACGGTGATTCTCAACTAGGAATCAGGAGAGGCTATGTGTAATTTAAGAGTCACATGGTAGTTGATTCTTCTTTGTGACCTGATTGAAAAATAATATACAAGAATAATACATAGTCATTGTTAACAATGAAAGGAAAGAGGAAAAAAGAAAAATGACTCATTCCTACTTCCCATAATTATTACTAATAACATTTTGATATATGTTCAGTCTCCTATATTTATATTAACCTGGTTTTTTTCCAAAACTGAGATCATACTATAGATTGTTTTAAAAGCTTTTTTTATCTAATTCATCACAAGTATCTCTCCATTTCATTAGATATTCTTCTGAAGTAGCATTTTATAGAGACTGCAGAATATTCCAGTTGTAGTGCATGTTTGAGTTCAAGATGTAAATGGTATATACTTTTGAAATCACCAACAGTGTTATTCTGGTATTTGCATATGTGATCGATTTGAAGGAATCGAAAATTATTTAAAAGCTACCCCTTTTCACCCTGGCCAGGTGGCTCAGTTGGTTGGAGAATCATTCTATGTGCCAAAAGTTTGTGGGTTCAATTCCTGGTCAGAGCACATACCCAGGTTGTGGGTTCCATTCGTAATTGGGGCACATACAGGAGGCAACTAATCTGTTTCTCTCTCACACTGATGTTTCTGTCTCTCTCTCTCTCTCTCTCCCTCCCCACTCCTCTCCTCCCTTCCTCTGTCTCCAAAATCAATAAATATATCCTTGGATGAGGAAGATTAGAAAAGAAAAGCTACTCCTTTTCTAGCTGTCATCTTTTGTGTATTTTACTTTCTGAATAATCCTTAAATAACCATTTGTTAACTAACTTTTATATTTATGTATTTGTTTTAATAGATTTTTTATCTCTTTGCTTTAGGGTGCAGTACTAGCAGCTGTGTCAAGTCACAAATTCAACTCATTCTACGGGGATCCTCCTGAAGAGTTGCCAGATTTCTCCGAAGACCCTACCTCCTCAGGTAATTGGATCATTCATCCATTCACCAGGGTGAATCATTTCATGTATACATCTTTTCTCTTCTATTCTAAATAAACTTTTTTTTCCGTGAATGCAGTCAGATCCTCCAAGGGATTCTAAGGAAGTTTGTCAGCAACCAAATCCCATCCACATGTGTCTGATTCCTTTTAATTTTAATACCAGAGTTGCTCTTCCCTACTGCTCCAAAAGCATCATTCCACTTTTTTCTTTTTACCTCAGAAATAATTCTTCCCCTTCCCCCACTTCAGACCCAACATTGCGCTTCATCCAATCAAACATTGTAGTCGATATTTTTGGATTTTTCTGATTACCTTCTACCTCAGGGAAAAGTTCTGATGTAAGGTTTTCCCCATGTCAGCCATAGCAGATCAGACCCTGGGACAGCACTGCTTTTATTTAGATATTTAAATGTAAAGTTGTCTTGTGAGTTATCTCTTGAAACAATTTACAGCTTCTTCTCTTTTTGTAAAGTCTGTAACTTGGAGAAGAACACAGAAGAAGAGTTACCTATTTCAATGAAACGTATATAGGTATTTCTGGAAAAAAAAAAAAAAACCACCAGTGTTCACAAAATTATATTATAAAATGCTCAGATTTTGATCTTACAAGTGAGGTATTCTCAAGTATCATTTATTAAAACTCCAGAGGATCCATATATATGTATATGTAAGTGCATGTGTGTTACAGTTTTTTAATTTTATTTATATGTTCCTTTATTAATTTAATTCCTGCATCATATGCCCTCTGCCCTCAGCTTTTCTTCTTTCATTAAAGTCCCTCAGTATTTGCAATGTGGTTGACTTTGCACTGCTGATTTGATTTTTGTACTCTTAAAGTGGCTCATTCAATATTCATATTTTATCACTGGAATGAAGGCCTACAGCCCTTCCTGAAACATGAGTTGTTTGTCCTTCACAATTAGCAATATAGAAAGAATGGATGTGCTAATGCTTCTTTCCTATTCAAACGAAGAGCATTGGTCAGTATTCGTGCTTCTTCCTTCCTCTGTTTATATACCAGTATGTATGTGCACATATATGCTTACATGTTTATACCTTATACAAGATAACAAGATCAAGTTTCCCATTCCAGCAGCTATACACAGGTAGGGAAAAAGTAGGTTTACAGTTGTGAGTACACAAAACACAGAGTTTATTCTTGTATTATTATTTATTAATTATTGTATTATTTTCCATGCAAACAACTCTAAACCTACTTTTTCCCCACCCTGTAGTTCCTCATTTTGACTTTTACCAATTGGGATGTGAGCCTTCCTCTTTTGAGTGAAGGTGATTTCCAAAACATTCAGAGATGGGAATCTTAGAGAAGAGATTCTGAGGAGAAGGCCTTGCTGTTTTCCTCTGGTTCAACTTGGTAATTGCCCAGAGCCCTACGCACAAAAGGCAAGGCCCTAGTTGCATTTATACATATGTTCCCCAGTGCTCCCTATTGTTTCCTGTCAGTCTTTTTGTTCCTATCGCCTGTAGCTTTCTGTTGTTGTTCCCTAGCTCACAACCTCTTTCTTTTCTCCTCACACTCAGATTACAATTGAACCTATCTCCAGGGAGTAGATCCAGTAATGGTTTTATGATATACTGTGACTATATGACATAGTCACACACTTGAGATATATTCAGAGATTTTAGATCCAAATCTCTAATGCCATTTTCATCTTTAGAAATGGGCCTACACAGCAGTGTGGTCCTTGTAATGACCTCACAGACGTGACCATTAATGTTTCCCCTTAGTATGCACCTCTCCCTAATAAGAGTATAATGAGCTCTTCTTTCCTTTCTGTGAAAAGTTGGGTTTTTATTTTAGGGAAAGTGATTGTCTTTAGTTATAGACAAGCTTATTTTTATATTAAATACCTTTTATTGCCCATTTTTGTGCTTTTTGGTATAGTCTCTAAGTGATGTGGTTGAAATAGTTTCTGATTACAGAACTTCCTTTTTAAACAAAAGTAGAAATTTGTTACACTGTCCTGCACTTAGTCTGTAAGCCCTCACTTGAATTAGTTGTTCACAATTTTGCATTTCTTCTTCCCTTTCCTGAAGTCACACCCTATGTCTTTTTTTTTGTCTTTTTTTCCTTAATTTCTGGATTTTAATGATCTTGTAAGCAGTCTATATCTTCATTTGATGTGCTAAATGTCTATCTTTAAAATATTTTTAAATAGCACTGTCCAGATGCTACAAGTAAAAGATAGAAGAATTACTATGCACTATTTTTGTCTGGTCAATTACCCTAAATGAAGAATAAATTTTTATATTCTTAGAAGTCAAAGAAAGGGCTGAGCACACAGGCCTGGAGCTTCTAGCCCAGCCAAGAGGACAGTAGCCCTGGCATCACTTCATCTTTGATTCCAATAAAAGATCATTTGCTTTGCCAAAAAAAAAAGTCAGAAACAAAGAAGAAATTTGAAAAAATTCTAATGTCTTCTTAACTTTACCATAACTATCAGAAACATGTTTCTAAAATTAATTTTTAAGACCAAGTCATTTAAAGGGAGGCATTGTACTATTTTATCAGCATTATTTATTAATAACTATCCACCAGCAAGTTTTCTTTTCTGCAAGCAATGGTTGTATGCTTGGTTAACCAAAAACTATCTTGGATTCCCATAAGAGCTGTACACTTACATAAAGTAACTCACTTATATTTTTTCATCTATTTTATTTTTAACATTTTCATTAATTTTCAAACCTAAATTCATCTCTGTTTAATTATAATCCTTAAATTCTATATCATTTATTTTAAGTTCCCAATGTTATCCTTTCCACTGTCTTTCTGTTTAAATTTTCAGGGGTTTGTTTTACAGTACAAAACACAGAGTACCTAAAAGTTCTTCCAAGCTCATGGTAGAAAGAGAAAAATGATCATAGAGCATGTGTTTGTAGAGCAGAGGTAAAGGGCAGGAAAGGAGGAGTTTGAGAGAAAGAACAGTGAGTGTAAGGTCACCAACTGCCCTTCCTTGAGATGACTGTTTTTCACCTTTACACAATGCCTTTTCTGTTCTTTCTATGAAGTAATAATAAATTATACATAATTAGGGTTTTTAATGACTTGTTTGACAAAATTAAAAGCTTGATAATTCTATTTTGCCCCCCCAAAAAATTCTATTTAAAATCACAATTTAAAAACATTTAAAAGGAAACAACTTCCCAATTTGTCATCTAAACCAGATTCTACATGTTTAGGTATGCGGTTTACATTGTAAAAAAATTTCTAAACAAGAAATTCTTTTCTATTTTGATTATCAAAATTTGTTAATACATTCACTAGAACATGTTTAGTTTAATCTTATGATAAGCAATATATTGTTGCTTTGTTACTAATAATCCAAAGTACGAATGATCTGTTCTCATATTTTACTTCAAAAAAGTCAAAATCAGCACCCAGTATTTTGATAATTGAAAGCGTAAACAGTCCCAGTGAATGTGCTTATGGAACACAGGGGCTCACTTTGGACTCAGCTGGGGGACCATGCTTCTTGTGGCTCATCTACTGGGCCCGATTGTGGCTTGATAACCTGCTTGCTCTAAAATCATACTGTTTGTTGTTTGTCCATATGCTGCCTTCCTCCTAGGACTTCTAGCAGCAGAAAGTAGGTATCCCTTTGTTTTCCTCTAAGGTTTATCTTTTATGCAAAAGTATTTGGCTTTGCATGGTTCATAATCAGCTTGACTTTTTCCTTGGCTGTTTGTGTGTAGATATTTAATTGTGAATTTTAACACTGCCTGATCATAAAATAAAAGCTTGGATATATTGATTTCTGGAGGCATTGTTATACAAATATTAACTTCTCACTTCTTTCATGAAAGGAAAGAGTCAGTGTTAAAATTTTAATTGCACTTACTATTTCACATCTGAATTTCAAGCACAAATACATTAATTTTGGAAGAAGGGTAACATTTTACTTTATAGTTTGCTTTCGAGAAAACTCAGGGTAAGTGAATTTTCCTTTTGACAGTTACATAATCTGTAAGTTCTTTTTATTACTTTTTGTTACTGACTCTATTTTCAGTTTATTAATATGGCACTATGAAATAAAATACTGAATTTATATCTATTCATGTCTCTTAACAACTTTTACCATCAGAAAGAACATGAAAGAATATGAATAATATAATGGCTATATTTTAATTACAAAGGGATATAATTGAGTATGGGAGAATATTAAAGTAAAAGGCATGAAATAAATTGCACACATGCATACACACACACAAAATGAATAAAAATAAAGCTCAGGTAAACCAAGTAAGATAGGTGGACTATGTCAATGTCAGTTCTGGTATTATTATACTGTAGTTTTATAAAATGTTACCAGTGGGAAAACTGAGCAGAGTATATACAAGGGATCTCTATTATTTCTTAAAACTGCATATAAATCTATTATGTCAATAATAATTTCAATTAAAACAAAAGAATAAACCTTTACCTTAATGTTGTGCTTACTGAAAAGAAGGTATATAATAGACAAAGATAAATTAGAAAATCTGGAATCCTGTAATCAAATTCATTGTCACATTTTGTTATATTAATCACATGACTGTGATTTAACACAGTCATGCACCACTTAACAATTGGGATACATTCTGAGAAATGTGTCATAAAGCAGTTTCTTCACTATGCAAACATCATAGAGTACACTTACACAAACCTAGGTGGTATAGCCTACTACTGTTAATTGTATGTGGTACACTTTTATATGACTAGCAGCACATGCCACCATTGTATATGTGGTCCGTCATTGACCTAAACGTTGTTAAGTGGTGCGTGACTGTATAAAAATCTCAGTGAGTGTGTTTGTTATTTGTTGTTATGTAATGAATAACAGCAAAGCAGCATTTATTATCTTATGGTTTCTATGGATCAGGAATCTGGGCATGGTTTAGCTGAGTGCCTCTGGCTCATGATCTCTCATGAGATTGTAGTCAAACTTGTCCAGAGCTGCAATCTCATGTGAAGAGCCATCTG